GTAGGAGGGTTCCCTTTTCTCCACAGCCTCTCTAGCATTTCTCATTTGTGGACTTTTGAATGATGGCCATTCTGACTGCTGTGAGGTGATACCTCATTATAGTTTTGATTTGCATTTTTCTGATAATTAGCCATACTGAGCATTTTTTCATGTGCCATTGGCCTATATTTTTTATTATAAGTAACAATATCATGGAGCTTAACTAATGAGCTAAAGGGTTAAAAGGTAAATTTAAGAATATATGCCAGAAAATGAGGTAAACTCTAGATGAAAAAGAAAATTTGAGGGTTAGTCCAAGAAGTTCCATCAGAATCTGAGTCATAGGAATTTCATCGAGAAAGAACACAGGAAATGGGAGGGGGTGTTCTTCCAAAAGCTCCATAACTAATGACACCAGCCCACAGGATGGAGGGAACCACTGTGTGCAGAGCACCATGAGCAAGAGGCCCCCATCAAGTTGCATCCCTGTGACACTGAGGGCACCAAGCATAAAGAAAAGGTCCTAAAAGCTTTCAGAGAGCAAACGGATCACACACAAATGGGCAGGGATCAGAATGACTTTGGACTTTTTAAAAGCAGCCCTGGAAGCTGAAAGCAAAAAGCTGACTTCAAAAATTTTGAAGGAAAAGAATTTCCAACCTAGAATTCTATACCACACCAGACTTGTCAATTAGAGATGAGAGCAAACACATTTCAGACATGTCCCCTTTCCAGGAAGCTACTAGTGGACTGACTTCAGCAAAATAAGAGTAAACCAAAAAGGAAGACAGTACAGATTCCAGGAAACAGGGAATCCAACACAGGAAAAAGGCAGAGAAAGTCACAAGGATGACAGCGGAGGAAAGCTCAAGATGGCAGAGCTGTACAATAAGTTTAGAAGGCCATCGGCCTAGCTTGGAACAGGAGATCGGGGGCTCTGGGAGAGGAGGCTCCAGGAAGTAAACATCACTAGTGTGTTTAAGCCTTTGGAAAATGTTGATAGGCAAATGGCAAAGAAAATTATCCGCGGAAAAGTCTGGGTATAACGAAAATACTAGGTAAGTATTGAGAGAAAAAAGAAGAGGTAGTACAGGAATGGGGGTATGGTTTTGTACAGTAACCGCGAACAGCAAAACAGAGTCACGAAAATGCACCCTTGGCGGTGAGTTCTTTGGAGAGCCAAGTTCTCATTGACCTTATCGGGAAGTCCACAGAAATGTCTAAAATGAATCTATCCAAAACCAGCAGTCTCGGTTTTGAAACTCGGAGGTTTCGGTCGGAGGAAAGTTTTCAAGGGTTGGAACTATTTGCCTCTGGGAAGACGGGCACGGGGCCGCTGTTTTTCACTAGGTCTTCAGTTCTTCGTGAATTAAAAGCATGCACTGGCGTTACTTCCATTCTAAAACAAAATAAGTCAAGAGCTGGCTGTGACGACGCCACGTCTCTGAGCCCCGGAGGCGCGGCCAATCCAGGACACGCCACCACCCAAGGCCCGGCTGGCTGTCTCCATGGCAACCGAACGCGTCCCCGAATCCAACCGCGCAACACAGGGCGGGGCAAGGGGACGCATTTCCGGCATAGGCCCCGCCCCTCCGCGGCAGAGGCGTGGCCGCCTGGTCCCAGAGTTCCAGGCCCGCGCGTGCGTCCTCTTCGGCAGCCCGGGAGGCTCGGGACGACAGTGTCCCCGCTCCCCCCGGGCCGCGGCTGAGAGGCCCAAGAGGCGTCACAGCCCACAGTCCGCATCCCTCTGACAACGTGTGCGCACGCTGTCGAACGCCTCTTCTGTCCGTCGTGACGCAGAGCCGCCACAAGCCCTTGCCGGGGAAGCTGGGCCGGAGACCACCCCTCTCTATCGGGGCGGGGCCAGGGACGGGGCCCACGC